CTTCAGGATGCTCTGGACTGCTCCAGGAGGAGTATCATCGGTGTTACTGATGAGCATGCTAGTGGTACTGTGATGAGTCATGGTCAAAAGTGAACAGTTTCAGGATTAGCCATGAATGGTAGCTCTTACTTCTTCCAGATCTGTTCCCCTTGCTTTTACAACAAGCTCTCTATCTCTTTCTTTGGTTAAATGAAAATTTAAGCAGCATTTTTCCTTTTCAGTATGAACCCTCGACATCCTCAGGATATCAGAAACACAGTGCTAGTCTTCTAAACACATTTACAAAAAAAGAAAAAAAAAAAAAAAAAAAAAAAGAGAGATGAAAACCCTGAATTTTTACATGGAAATCTAACCTCCTGAGAATCCACATCTGCAAGGCCTTCCGCAGCCGGCCGGCAGCCAAGGCTGGGGCTTGCAGTACTGCTGACGGGGGCAGCCCTGAAGAAACGAAATGGACTCCTAGTTTTTATCTTTTCCAAGCCACATCCAGGTTGAAAAGAGCCATCCTCCTGGTGGCTGCTGTGAGCCGGCTGGAGCCCAGTGGGGAACCCTGTAAAAGTTGGCTGCAGCTTCCAAGCTGTGGTTTGGCACACATCCGCTCTAAGGTCTTTGCCAAATATTCAGATTTATTTTTAGAGGGTTTTTTTTTTTTTTCATGTTGGCATCTTATTTAACTGTAGTTTATAGTTTAATGCCTTTAGTTTGATATATTTTGTCACTAGACAGGGCTACTTTGTGCAGAGATTTTTGTTGGAAGGTAAAAATATGAAGTGTATGTGGAAGTTGAACAAATTATGTTGAGAGGAGATCGCAATAGAAGTAACATGAAGTGGCAACACCAGTATTAGCCCTGGCTAATATACTTCTCTTGTATGGGAATTTGACATCACCTTTGCAAGCCAGGTTCAAGAAGAAATTTTGGTTCCCACTGGCAGAATGTGGGAGAGAGGAGAAATGTAGGCACCTAACAAAACTTTCTGGTCTTCTGCCAGATGCATTAAAAAGCAACTTCTTCACTATTGGGCTCTGTAAGCACAGGAGAGCAACCCAGGGTGATGTTGCAGCACATCCCTACGTTTTCCGTTCTGAGGGAGCCCCAAATTCCAGTGTGAGCCCTTTACCGGGTGTTCGTGGGGAGTTGCATCAGCTGTGGCAGCATTGTTCTGGATCAGCCTGACCTCTTTTAGAAAATACGTATTTTTCCAACACTAACAAAAACCTTAGCTGAGCTCTTGCAATGTTCTCTCCCTTTGTGTGTGTGTGTGCCTGAGCACTAAATTAAAAAATAGGAAAAAAAACCCAGATGTGAATCTATAAGCCATCTGTTTAAAATAACTATAGTGCAGGACTATAATTAAAAGTTATTTATTATGAATCTTGGGATCCTATTATGGATTTTGACTGACTCCCAGGTTTCTGATATAGCAAATGGTTTATGTATTTATGAGCCATGTGTCTCTTCCGCACTTCTTGGTGCCAGAGTGCATATCCTTTAAACAAAAGGAAAAAAATCCCCCACCTTCCCATAACTGTTGGCTTCTGAATGTTGCTGTCTAAGAAGTTTTCTCTTAAGAACAGCAAAAATCAAAGTATCTGAGAGCTTTCAACAACTCCAGGGGCGCTGTTGACAACACAGATGGAGGTTTGGTAATACAACGCTCCTGCATGCAGCTACTTAGCAACATTTTAAATGTATGGCTGGGACAAGTAGTGAAATGTTATGATTACTGGCGATAGGAGGGGGATGCACTTGGAAGGAGAAGATTTGTTGCTGAAGTCCATTTGCAGCCCGTTTTGCCCTTTTGAAACAGGAGGGAGGAAGGCAACAAAATTGAAACAAGCAGATGGACAGTATGCATTAAGAGCAGTATTTTGGATGACAGTGTGAAAAATACCTGCTGGTGACAATTGCTCTTTGTTTTATCCTTGTACTTTTACACCCCGTGGGCCTGGGAGATCTGTGGTGGATAATGCCTGACTGCAATAGACTAAACAATGATTTACCAGCCCCGTTTTATCTACTGCTGCTGTCCTATGCTGGATCAGCACAGTATTAACCCTTTCCTCCACATCTTCTGGCCTATTTTTTCCACATTTTGCCTGCACAGGGAGTTAGTCACTGTAGGGTGACATCTGACAAGGCCAGTTTCTGACCTCCCTGGGGCTTGCCTGCAACCTGCAGAGGAGGAACATCATCTTTGCAAATCCCACTCTGCTTCAGGGCTTGGCTGCCTTTCTCCTGGAGGCAAAGGACTGGCTCTGCTTACCTGGAGCACACAGAGCTGGTCCTGTAGGCAGGAGGCTGCAGCCTCTTCTCCAAAAGACAAAGATGATCTTACTCTTCTCTTTCTCTTTTTTTCCTTTTTTTTCTTTTTAAAATGGCATTAGTTGCACCACGAACAATTAAAGTGATTTACTTGGAATAGCTACTTAACGTAAAATAGCCAACAGCCCTTGGTCTCTTTGCCAGGTCATGAACTCCAAAATCTTACATCTATAGCTAGGTTATGATTCACACTGAGTTTTTCTTTCTCGTTCCAAGGAGTTACTTGATCCTCACCTGTAGTGAAGGTCAGGAGTTTGGGCTTTAACCACTAGTATTGCTGATGGTAAGGGGAGTGAGATCCAAATTTAGCTGCACTCGCCGATTGGCTCAGTGGCACCAAATTTGTTACTGGCAGAGATTATTTCTTATTTAAGTGACCTAGGCCAAAGTTAGGAACAGTATCTAGCAAGCATCTTCTGTTTAAGTATGTGTTGGGCTCATCCGTGGGAGGATTTCATGTAAAGGAATGCTCATGTCAGGATATAGCTGAGGGCAGGGCAAGGAAGTCCATGCTTGGGAGAAAGGGGGAGAAGCTGGCTGGAAAGCTGGGCTACAGGAGACATTTGCCCCAGGAGTATGGCCTCAAACCTGTTGGTTTTCAAGGACTGTTTGTGCTCTCAGACATATGGTTCGAATCTTGGGTGGTCCATTGTGGAGCCAGGATTTGGATGATCCTTGTGGGTCCCTCCCAGCTCTGCTCAGGGTATTCTGGGAATGAGGGATCAAAAAGCTATACAGATCTCGTTTACTCTTCTCCTTTTTAGCCTCAGCAGTGATTCCTTCCTCAGGGAGTGTGATGGGCAGCTGCCTGCCAAGCCCCATTACATGGGTTCTACCTAGCTAGGTTGAGCTGGTGGGACACAACATGTCATACATCCAGTGAGTCCATGATGTGCCTCAGCTAGGTCAGTCATGTTCTCCAAAGGAACATACTGCACAGTGGATTTTGCTCTTCCCTCAAATTCACTTTCACCATGCAGAATACTGTCCTGCAATAGAGGGAATGGTGCCACTACGCTTTTTAAATCTTGCATTGAACGAAATTTTGCTAAAGATAATCGGATCTTAGCATAACCCTTCAAAATACAGAATGTATGTAGTTGATTCAGTAAAGTTGTTTCTGCTGTCTTTTAGCAGGCTGAATTAAAGCAAAGTCAGAGGCACTGTGTTCACCTAAAAAAAAGTAGAATTTCACCCTGTGCACTAAAAAGAAGTTGCTGAGGCAGTCTTGCTGATGCAGTTGTTTTGTGCCAACCCAGAACTGGAGCATTCTCATAAATTCATTCTATCTAGACTGTTTACATTGCATGTATGTTTGCTCTGCAGTAGTGGAGGAATGCAGAGCCACCAGCATGTATTGGTGACTAGCAGTGACCTGCCTCTTCACAGTAGCTCATGTCACTGCAGCTGCGTTTCAGCTGAGCAGCAATTTAGAGCCAGATCCTCACTTACTGATTTCACAGTGTCTTGGCTGGAGTTATTCCTCATTTACACTGATAAGATTGAAGAGCCTTTACAGCTCCCATCAGATCAGGCAGTGACTTTGAAGAAAATAAACCTCTTATTTTAGACAAAGGGCTGGAGTGTAATAAAAGCTGTGTGTTATCCTCCACAGGCACCTTGAATGAGGCCACAGGGAGCAAAAGAAAAGGACTGGAAAGCATGGTTTAAGTTTTATGATTTACATTTTTCTTGTCCTTTGATTTTTTGGTCTCTAATTAAGTCATAAGATTGGGTGAGGTGGGTGCTTGCATCTAGTAATGTCCACCTGTGTCTCTTAATGAACTGAGCTACTAATTACAAGCAGAGGTCACTTCAGAGGGCTAATTTCAGTCAGGAATTTCAAGTATCAAAATTTGACTGAAAAAAAAAAACCCTCAAGTATTTATTTTCTGTCTTTATTTATAGGTAGGGTTAACCAGAGTGGTTGACACTACAGGGTAAAGTCAGGCTATAAATGGAACATTTCTTCTGCTTATTGTCACACGATCTATATTGACATCCCTTAATATGATCAGTGTGCTCTTTGGCCTTCATCATTACTGTCTCTTTGCTGTAGAAAGATGACACTATAATGTACAGTAATTCTACCTGCTTGTATTATTTCATTGATTCTAAGTATTTTGGGGAGAAAGAGATAAATCATAGAATTTTCTTTCATAGTATAGTATAGCTGCCTCTTTTGAAGGACTCCTGCGTAGTCAGGTAATACTGCTAGCTAAAAATGGTTTCAGTGCTGCCAGGGTGTTTAATTTTCTCTAAATATGTCAGCTCTTCCTCAGATGTCTGTCTCATGTCAGTATGAAAAATGGCTCCTAAACTGTGTGGTTCATGGGGCAACACCTCAAGACCTCAAGGATATTTTAACAAGCACATCATGTAGCTAGTTGTCTGTTTAAATAAAGAGGATTTCTTCAACAGGGCACATTTTCTGTACTATAATGTGTTGCAGTTATGAATTATTGTCCTAGTAAAACAGTGTTTACTCATGCTGCTGAACAGTTCAGAAGCTATCTTCTACTGCAGCCCTTCAAGAGCAGAAGGTGTTTTTAATCACAAAAGCTTCAGAAGCAAGAGAGCAGATTGCGAAGCTCACATTTTATATTCTGAGTTGCAAGAACCTAAACCATGGATGTAGTTTATATGCAAATATCTTCTGTTTATTTATTTCCAGAATAAGGAAGTGACGTGCAGAAGAGAGAAGTGTCCCCTGCTTTCCAAGGAATGCGCTCTTGTCATTAAGCAGAGAGGAGCTTGCTGTGAACGTTGCAAAGGTGTGGTGCTTTTCCTGTTTTTTCTCTCTTTTAAAAAGTGTTATCTGTTCAAATTTATACTGCCAGAGATGGAACAAAGTCAGAAGCCTCTCAGCTAGTCACCAAAAGCTTCAAAAGGACAGTAACCACAATTATAATCCATACATTTAAAAAGCTGGTGAAGATAACATAAATTCACATATTTGTTCTGCAATGGCAGTCCTCTAGGAATACATCTTGATTGTACTTCACTGGTATGTTGTCAGTCTTTTGAGTGGTGTCTCCCTTTCTAACTTATTCTATTGGAATTACTTTACATCAAAATCAATCTGCTTATGGTAATACATCCATAAGAATTTCTTTAACTTCCCACGTGGTTGGGCATAGCAGGAATAATGCTTGCTATTAATAAAAAACAGTAATTATTCATGTCTATTTCTATTTTTCCCAGTACTAGAAAGAAATAAACCAAATTCTATTCATTTTATCCTGGTTCAAATAATAATATCAATCACACTTTTGTTAAAGCCAAAGTGGGTTACAGTCTGAACACTATGTATGTATTCTTGACCAACACTCTGTATCCTCAGAGCTCTTTAGAAGGAGCTAAGTGTCAGATATGAAATAATGAATTAATGGTATCCAATATTTGCACATGTGAAAAGCGTGAGAGTAGATTAAGCTGAAAAAGTCTTTTTTTTAATTCTAACTCAGTAAGCTATATGCAGTAAAACAGTGATTTTGCTGACAGATTGCTGATGCAGCCCATGAGGTGGAGAATGAGGGATTCAGACAGCTTCACTTTTCCTGTTTTTTTTCTGTCCTGTTTAATTCCCCAGTGGTGTTATAGTTTAGAAGAGAGGTGCGGTAGGATAAATTGTTGGGAAATGTGAGCATTTATTGCCTTCCCAGAGGAAATACAAATGCAGAACAGGTTACATTGAAATTCAGACAGGAGAAACGTGATGGATATATGTTTTTCCCAAATGGCTGCAGGGTGTGCTAGCTGGTCTTCATTTGTGCTGCAACTTTAGAATAGGTTTGGCAAGCCCTAGTCTGAAGATTTGTCTGAGATTGATACTTAGAAGAAAAGGAAATGAAATGGGAAAGAAAAAAAAAAGTATTACTGAAAGAGAATTTGTAGTTAAAGTTTTCACATAAGTAAAACGTAATTTATTTATTGTGTCAAATTTTATTTAGTGTCAGATTTAGAGCAAAAATGTCCTAATTTTACTTTGATTATGCTAATTCTCCATTTTGGTAAAGGGATGTGTTGCTGGTCAATTTCCTGAAAGTTTTACATGTATGCACATTTGTGCACACAAAATGATTCTGCACTAAAAAAAGTTAATGTTTCAAAGATGAGGATACAAACATTTAAGTAAGTTAAAGATAAATATTATCATTAGGTTGAAAATTTAACTCTGATTTCTTGTTATTATCCTGAATTGAGGTGAATATTACATTATACATTATTAATAGACTTGAGACTGGTATCTGCAGATTAGTATGTTTGACATCTCTAACAGGAAAATTAATAAAAGTATTAAAAAAATCGAATTAAGAGGCAGGTAACTGAGTGGGAATAACACTGTCTTATAAAACTGTTGGAGTCTTTTGAAGGGCTCAGTTAAGTATACAAACACAGCGATCTGGCTGTTATCTTCCTGCATTTCTATTGGGCATCCAACAAGATTTCTCACCAAATTCTCCTACAGCAGCCCCAAGTTTGTAGATAAATATTTCTCATTAGCAAATAAAAGACAGATGGAGACAGTGAGTGATTGCTTTTGTAATGAAAAAGGGTTACCAGCAGTTTCTTCAAAGTTCTCAACTTGTCAGGATGCTCAAAATGATCTAGCAGAGCCTGAAGTAACAGAAAGATTGCTGATACTGTAGTGCACAGCTGGCTGTGAGGAGCTGCATAAGGTTCTTAGGACATTGGTAACTGGTGACAAAACGGCAGAGGAAATTGATGCCATCAGAAAGGAGGCACTTGGCTGGAAGGATGCTCAGTCTGATTCTAGACAGCAGTTTCTATGTACTTAAGATGCATGGGCAGGTTTAAATTTTGGAATTAAAGGAAAAAAAATAAAGGGCTTTTGAGGGCCTAATCTTGAAAAGGGAATGCTGAACTACTGAATACTTTTTTCTTTCAGAAAGGTAAAGCAAAAGGTAAAGCTAACTATGCACTTGTGTAACTGCATCAGTCTCTTGTGTAACTGCATCAGTCTCGATGCCATGCATTTTCACTGGGATGTTCTCATGCCATAGAAAGACAGATGGAACCAGCTCTCTGGGGAAGCTGCTTGCTTTCCTGCTCTTCTGAATGCTGCTAGAATTCCCTTTCTATTCTGTGCAAAAATCTAAAACAAGTGTCCTATGGGAAGCATTTGGGGAATGAAGGATGTACACACAGCCTGGCTGTGAGGCTCTTCAGCCCTCTTTGGTGTTCCATCAGCTCCCTTTGCTGTCCTTGTAGATCCCCAGAACTCTCAGTGCGGAGTTCAGCTGCAGCTGGGATTGACCCTGCAGCGTTTGTTCTCAGTTACTACTTTGTCAGACTGCCAGAATGCCCATAGGGAATGCAGGCAGGAAAAGGGAAGCTGTGATTTTTGCTGGTTGCATTTCTTCTAAACACGAACAAAATGTTACAAAAGAAAAAAAAAAAAAAACACCAGAACCTGATGGCTTTTTTTTTTTTTTTTTTTCCCTTGGCATAATTCCCATAGCCTAGAAAGGCTTAATCAGGCTTTATGGGCTATTGCCAGCTCCCTCAGATAGCTTCAGGTCTTCATAACTTGTGAAGAAATGAATGAATGAATGAGTGAATGAATGGGTGGCTGCTGTCACTGAATACAGGAGGATAACATCAAAACCAAAGAGTATGTTTCCAGAATGGAAACCACCACTCATAAGTCATTTGTGACACTGCTGCCAGGATATTTTATGCTGCTGTGGGGAAGGCATGAAAGCTGGGTATGTATGCCCAGTATTTCTGATAGCATAAACCATACTGGAATTAAGAAATACTGTATGCCTGCAGTGGTGCATCCAGCTGAGTTCCCATGTTTAGAGCTTTGCTCACTGGGGAGCCTGAATTGCAGAGAATTTCTTCTGCAAATGACTTCATACTGAGCATAAGTCCTTTGCTCCTGCTTTGGAATCTTTATGCTACTTAGACAATTTTTAGCACTTTCTGTGCGTAAACGAAAAGGAAAAAGAAAACAGCAGCAAGTACAGCTTTTGCAATCAGAAAGAAAAATAGAACAACGTTCACGATGATGGAAACAACATTTTGTCCCTAACACATTAAGAGATTTGGCTTTACTTAATATTTTAATCCTTCAGACCAGCAATGTATTTTAACACTGATCCCAACTCTCAGCAGAGGACCCTGGATAGTGAAGTCAGTGGGGCAGGGCTCCTCTCTTACTGTGTGTTTGTGCAAAGTCTGGAACAGAGAAATGTAGACCTGTGATTATGGCTCCCTGCTGCAAGCAGAATGTAAACAACCCAGCATAATAGAGAAAACTTTCAGTGAGATTACTCTTCTGACAGATACTTACTGGAGTTTATAAAACATACCATACACCTCTAGCATACTATTCATTTTGAAAGTATGAAAAAAATTAAGCCCTCTTATTACTTTAGAGTAGGACAAATGGGCCACTTTTCATCTTTCATTTTATTTAATATGCTTAATGAAAACACATGAGATCACTGAGATTATAGAAATAGATTTGGCAGCATTTTCTTATTTAGTTGGTTGGAGACGTGTCACTTGGATATAGAGCTCTCTGCACCTCCAATAATAAGTTGTTTGCTCTGCGAAGAAGTATTACCAGCTCAGGGCTGTATAAAGTTTGCATTTCTAAAATTGTGTGCCATACCCTACTTTTATCCTAAGAATATGAATATTCCATGGATTTACAAAGGGCAAATCAGTGGGTATTTGTCATATGTATCATTTGCCATTCTGAAATTTCTTTCAATTCCTACAAGCAATTTTGCTTTCTCTGTGTTTTTTAACTTCTGAGAGTTACTGTTTTTTTCATTCTTTCTTACTTCCTTTTTTCTTTCTTCCTTTTTTCTTTTTTCTTTTTGTTTTAATCAATGAAGTTAGAATTTCACAAGCTGTTCTCCATTTATTAGGAGTCTACCAGTGAATGAAATCACAGCTCATGCAAGGGCAAGGCTAGTTCTTTAGAATATTGAATATCCAAAGCTATCACAGTTAATTGTACATTCTTGGAAAGGATATCATATTTTATGATTGAACTAATTTCCTCTACCAAGGCTGGCTTGCAAAGAAGTTAGAGTGAGATTATGAGTTTATTGCTATTGTGACTACTTTACTCATGCCTTGCAGGAGCCTTACAATCAGCACTTGGTTTGCTTGTGAATATTCCCAGAATGAAATAGATAATTTGGTGCCACCAGTTTGGTGGGGAATTTTGTGTGGAGGTATTGATGGGCACTATAACATGCAGCCCATCCTTATATTCTTTAGGGCAAACTCTTAGAGATATGGGTAGATGGAAGGTTATGGGGTGGGAAGATAATCGTATATTGCCTTACTAAAAACCTTTTCACCTTCATTTGAATCATCTAATCCTGGCATCTGTCTGAAATTGAATGTGGAAAGAGATGGTTTGGAGACCTATGAAGTCTGACTCTTTGGCTGACTTTTTTCACTGTTTCTCAGTCTCTCAGCACTAATGTGCTGCAGTTCTGAGCTAGGAGGCCAGTTTCTTGAGACTAGGGTTCAAGTTAATCTCAACATTCATTCAGTTTTTAACTTTGTATTTCAAGTAAAGGCAGGGATTTTGTAGCAGTGACAGGTTGCTGCTAAGGATAGTATCATCCCTTCATGGTGTCAGCTTTAGTTGCTTATGGCTATGCCTAAGAAAAGGTCTCTATATCATCAGCACCTCCTGTGAGTTAATTCTTTTATGAAAGTCTTACCACATATCCCTTTGGTATCTGCTGTATACTGTGGCCTCAATATAGTGCCTTAC